AATAAATAGTTAAAAATAAAAAAAATTAAATAAAGAATTTAAATTTAGTTTAAAAAAAAAATATCCCATCCCTTTTTTATTCCTTGTAATTTATCTGTTAAAGAACTCAAGTAGTGTGACTGAAGAAGATTCCAGTCTGGATTTTTGGAGCACACTGATGGAGTAGCTGAGCATGTTTCTCTCCTCCATCTTTCTTGAAAATAGCTGGTTCCAAAAGCTTGAACAGATTCAGGTTTATCTCTAGCAAGCCTATAGACACTGTTCTTCCATAGCAGGAACATAGTGTCTGATTGTCTCTTGTTGCTGCTCAGTGTCTAGATTCATTACTTCATTGGGAGTTGAAGTTAGTGATATCCTATCATTTCTTTCAATGTATTATTGTAAACTGGGCCACATTATAAAACAATAAACTGAATCAGGCAGGAGGCAGGAGAATCATGAGAGATGAGAACCAGTAGCATGAACTTTGCCTCAAACAAAACAAAAATCATCAAAAATGTTATGAATTATAATATGACTAGCCACATTTTGGACAACCCCTCCAGGTTAGAGTTCATGGAAAAAATATCAGTAAAGCCTTTCTTTCCCATAATGTAGGTTTCAAGATAAAGAGTTACTTATCCCCCTCTTTCAATCCATAGTCATCATTATCCTCCTTGAAAAAATTGTCCCATCTTAGCCAGTAAAAGCCTCTCCAAGATACCTCCTGCATCCTTCTGATATGACCACAGTAAATTCTGAGAGCTTCCTCCCAGGGTAGACAAGGTATTTTTCCCTCATCTGGTATATTTGTCCATGCACCTGGAATCAGTTATTTCTTTAAGAAGCCCTCGTTTCAGTAATCACATCATGGACACTCAGAACACAAAATTGCTGAAATGGCCACTGTTCTGGGTCCCTCAGTGGAGGTAATAAACACCCCAGGATTTTGTACTGATTCTGCCAATCCAAACACAGAACTACGGACTTTTAATTTAACCATTTTGTCTATGCATCTGTGTCTCCTTTCTTCCATGAACATTGTAATTATCAAGAACACAGGATGGACCCAGCACTCAGGAAGCTGAGACAAAAGGATAACAAGTTCAGGTCTGCCTGGGCCGCAGATCAAGAGCTTGTTATAAACAAACAAACAAACAAACAAACAAATACCACAACAAACAAAAAGCACAGTCAATAAAATAAACTATCTGAGGTTGGGGATGTAGCTTGGTGGTAATGTGTTTACCAAGCATGTGTGAGCACTAACCCCCCAAAAGAAGAAAAATAAATCCCATAATTACCCTTGTGCTCCATCACATATTTCACACACAAGTCTCAGAATAATATTACTAATAGTATCACAACTATGTTGATTATTAAACATGGTTCAACATTGTAAGACCCTACTGTGGAAGACACCACACGGTTTGGCTGCAGGACACAGAGAAATGAGTCTCAAATCAACCAGGAGCCTTTATCCCTACAGGCTAGCTTTCACAGTGCTCCAAGATGCTATGCAGCTGCTGGCGGGAAAAAGGCATTAATGGTCTTCCCCAGTGCTGGACCCTGCATACTACGATACCGACCTGCCAGGCAAAGTGTGCTCACTGGTGCAGTAATGGCACAACTGTAATTCAGTGGTAACTGTTTTCTGATTGGATTTGAGGCCTGCTTCACAGCCTCAAAGGAGGGAATTTCATGCCTGAACTGTAATCCTGGTCAAAAGCCCATGGCTGGGGAAGTTATAGACCCTAGAGTAGAGCCTGATATTGTTATTTTGCTAAATGGGAATGCTGTCAAATGGCCTTCTAAATATTTATGTTTATATTCACAGACCTGGGCTGCTCTCAGTCTCTATCGGAGAAACTTCTTTTTGTTGTGGGCAGCAATCAATACAGAGATGAATAACTGGTCAAAGTGCTGCGAAGAGACTGAATGCTCAGAACTAAATGTGGACTCTATATCGAACCCCTGCCCTCTCCACCAAGGTTCAGGGAGCACCACAGAAGAGGAGGCAGAAAGAATACAAGGGCTGGAGGATGGGGAGGAGTCTGTGAAGTGCTGTCTTCTGGACATGACATGACTAACACACTCATGATCTCACAGCAGCTGTACTTAAGTCCTGCACCAGATCGAGCCAGACAAAATCCCAGCATAGATAGGGTAGATGATCTCCAGGCCCCACCCCTTACTGAGGGGCTTTTGGCAGTAGATAGTTGCTGGAGAGGAGATCATTTTCTTTTGAAGATGTGGTCACTAGGAAGGCTTCTGGCAAATGGCCTTGCATCCATGCACTTATAGGTAGCACTAAGTGGACTTAGTGAGTAATCAAAAAAAAAAAAAAAAGACATGAAATTGGGAGGTATGTTGCTGGGGAGCTGGGGAACCTACATCTTTCCACAGCATAGAACTTCCCCCACCTTATAAGGGAAAAGAGGATAGACATGATCATATTTCATTGTATGAAATTCTCAAAAATAAAGAAAAAATTGTCCAAAACCAAATGGTTTTAAAACTTTGTATTGGCTCTTCCTGTTGTTCCTGTCTTTTAGTTACGTTATGTCCTCAGTATCAAAGGCTATATTGATTATAAGCTACATTTTTTTCCTATTAAACCCCAGTAAGCACTGGTGCTACAAACGACTATACACATAATGCTCATCATGAAAGCATCAATGTGACGTTCCACTAGTCACTCTGGCTGGCTGCAATTTATTTTTTAGTAGATTCCTAAGGAATGGTAATAATATTCCCTAAGTGTCTGCACATCAGTGAGATAACACCTTTATAAAACTTGGTGTTTTTTCTGCTGTAAAATCCTTGGTTCACGTTCTTTTCTGAGGAACTCTTTTCTGAGTGCTGAGCATGTCGCTCCACACTTTGGGCATACCACATCTAAGTCTGCTGATAATTTACTTCTTCAGTCGCTGCTCTGCCCAGATGCTCTGCCCAGAAGCCCAGTTATTTCACTACATTGTCTGGGTGTCTGTTGCTCTAAGTCCATATTCTTGGGTAAACACATACAGCTTTTCAGGTGATTTTTCTTGGATTTGGATCTTCAGCATTCTGGTCCTTTGCTTTTTCAAATGCAAGGGTTCCTATTATCCTTCTGGGGGTCTTTTCCCTTGGCTTGCAGTGTTCACCATTTCCTCTTCTGTTTTAATGAGTTTTTTATTTTCTCCATTTAACCCCTATTTCTCTTCAGATACCGTATGTTGTATTTCATTGCTTGCTTGGCTTAAGTCTTCATTTAAAACATTTTTTTTACTTGATTTCTAATTGTTTCCTGAGTTTGTTACCTTGCTTCTGTTCTTTCCAAACCTGTACTGTCTTCCTAAACACTTACCTTGTTTTAAGGTTGTATGCTATAGTGTGTCTCTGATTTGGTAAAGTATCTGAGTGGATTTTCATTACCGTACAGATGGGATTCTCCACCTCACTCTATTCCCTGTAATTGGGTGTGATTTTACCACAACCCTTTCTACTGTTCTTTTTATTGTAAATTCACTTTCCTAAACTTGAGAAAGTATGGTTCTAACTTCACTGAGCTCTCTTGTGTTTGGGGGTTATGTTTCAAATGTGGAAACTTGATTTCTGAGGTGTTTGGTTCTATTCCTCCCTCGTATTTTATCTGGAGCTTGTCTTTATGCATTGCTGTTTCTAGCTTGCTAAATCTTACATCTGTTCTCCAAAGCATGCAGTCCTTTAGAGGGAGCCCTGCCTGGTCAGCCTCTGTAAGCTCCTTGGATTGCTCTAGCCCCTTTGGAAATGACTAGGAATTTCCTACTTACTATTGGCTCAGACACCACAACACTTGCTATGGATGGCTAGTTGCCCATCAGTCCAGCCCACCAGCTTCCCTCTGCTTCCTCCCCACGGCCCCTGGGCACTATGCCATTTTTGTGGTTCTTAGTAACTAGTTTCACTGTAAATACTGTATATGGGCTTTTGGTTTGCTATCTAGTTGCTCTGTTTATAAGAAAATTCAGTGAGATTGAAAAATCACATCACCATTGCCACACCTACCACCATCTGCAGAATTTAAAGTATAGTTTAAAGGCCTTTAGACTTTTTTTCTATAGAAGATTTCTTGAAGCAAAATGCCTGCAAAATCAAGCAAAACAGAATAAAAGCATTTTTTCTGCTTACCTCAAAAACTCTGAACAACTTGTACCTTAATTTATAATCAGTCCATAAGACCATGAAGACGGCATTCATTGTGATAGCACTAATCATAATGTTCTGAAAGATGGGACTCCTTATGACCTTCCTGACAAATTCCTGAAATTGAGTGTCTTTCCTCCTGTCAAAAAGGTGAATGAGAGGTATAGTTATCATAAAACAGAGCTCCATTTCCACACAGTGATCCCTCTGAAGGATGGGATTTGTTCTCCCCCTCTGTGAACATAAATGTATATAGACTTTTACATGTCTGGTTGAATGACCACTGAAATGTGTGTGGGGGTCATCAGTGATCTTTCCCCACTCGGTTCTTCCTCTCTGGATCCCTGAAAAAGAATGGTCACTACTTCTTAGACCAAAGAAACAATCACCTTCACTTATTTATTTAATAAATTTTTATTGGGGCCCGAGAGATGGCTCAGCAGTTAAGAGCACTGGCTGCTCTTGCAGAGGACCCAGGTTTGATTCCCAGCACTCACATGATGGCTAACAACCATTTATAACTCCAGTTCCTGGGTGTCTGACCCCCTTCTGGCCTCTGCAGGCATTGCACAACACGGGTGTACTTGAAACAAGCAGGCAATATACTCATACAGATAAAATTTAAAAAATAATAAAGAAAATATTTTGAATAAAGAAAATGGCAGCAAGTAGCTACTAAACAGACACTAGAACACATGTGGTCACACTCAGAGGTCAGGATGCAGCAAGACTTGTCCCCACAGGGCAGGGCTGCGTTCCAGTTGCCTCATTCAGGTTGGGGAGTTTGCTATGAATCACAGCCATTAAGGGAAGCTGTTCCTGGGGACTGGAGTGAGGCTAGGGGTTGGGGATGGGCAGAGCTAAGCAGCACCCCCATGCTGATTACTACATCTGTCTGAAACTCCAGTTCCAGGGGATCCGATGCCCTCTTCTGGCCTCTGTGGGATTTGCACAACACAGGTGCACTTACATGCATGCAGGCAAAATACTCATACACATAAAATAAAAAATAAATGAATCAAAAATAAATAAATTTTCATTGAGTGACTACAATACAGTAAGCACAGGGACATGATGCAAACACAACTAAATATTCTTAATCTCATAGGAAAAACTGATAATAATCAAAGATTAAAAAGTCCAACTACCCTAAGGGAAAAATGGACACACAGCCAGTTCATGAAGAAATGCAAACGGCAAGTCATCCCCCAAGCATCAGGGAGATGCAGAGCAATGCCATTATATTTCCTTATGAAGTTAGCAAAACTTATACATGAGAACATTCCATGCTCTCAAAAGTAGAGTGCCACAAGGCATTCCTCTACTTTGACCAGCTTTTATAAAAAGCCCCAGAACTGTTCATGTCCTCTTACCCAGACTCTAACCCAAGAAAACACACCTGAACTGTGGACAGTGGCTGTGGCTAGGATTATCCTGAGATTATTTATAGTACTGAGATCTTGAAGACAATTTAAACATCTAACAAAAAGGTCTGGCTATGGGCTAGCAAGATGGCTCAGTGAATAAAGGTATGTGCGTGTTCTCACATGTATATACATATAAATAATAAATAAATAAATAAAAACATAAATAAATAAATATAATTAAAATGTTTTAATTGAAGGACAGGTTGAGTAAACCATTATCATCAAATACCAACACTGAAATATACCTGTGCATTTTCTTATGATTTAGAAAAGTGTTTATGATCTCGTGGAGAGCAAAACAAAAACAAAAGAAGATGTAAAGTTCTCATCTCAAAATGATTTCATCTGTAGGAAAAACTCAGGAAAAATATGGCAAGATGTTGATAGTGTCTATCTTTGGACCAGGAGGCTACAAGGCATTCTTTCCTATCAGTTTACATTTATCTATGCGTTCCAAGTTTTCTGGAAGAATAGTACATATTTCCTGTTATATGTAACAAAGCAATACATTCTGGGCTGGAAAGATGGCTCTGTGGTTAAGAGCACTGGCTGTTCTTACAGACCCAGATTCAGTTCCCAGTACTCATATGGCAGCTAATAACCATCCCTAACCCTAGTTCCAGGGGATCTGAACCCCTCTTCTGGCTTCCACAATCATTCCATGACACAGGTGCACTTACACATATGCAGGCAAAACTCATATACATAAAATTAAACAAATAAACTTTAAAAAACAAAGTAATGCATTCTCTTATAGGTAAAAAATATAGAATTGAATTGAGTGTGGTAGCCTGTACCTGTAGTACCATGCTACTCAGGAGGCTGAGGCAGAAAATCACTTAAGTCTACAACACAGTGAGGCCTCTAGTTCAACAAATAAACCATCATCACACCACCAATAGCAAACTCTATAGAATATGATGCATTTATGATACACAAGATGTTTAGTTTTAATTATATGATTTGAAATAAGTCTATAGCAAAAAAGAAAAGACTTCAAATGCTCCAATACAATCTACTAGAGGAACAACAGAGTCAAAGTAGTCACACTTCTTCCAAGTCAGTAACCAGTGTGTAATCCCATTCTCCAAAGAAACCACCATATCACAGGTGTGCTCTTCCATCTGGGGTTGCAGAATGTCTGGACGAGGCTGGGAGAGTTGGGATGCCCTGCCCCCACATTGCCCTTCACACATATCTTAACAATGAGGTAAAGAATATTTACTCAAACTTCCTGAATCTTGCACATAATGCCTCTGATGCAGTATCAAACAGCGAGCTAGAAACAGCTCTAGTGGATTCCTGGTAATAGTGCTGAGACATGTTCCAAATTTCCAATTTTTATTCTTTGCTTTTATCATCCAACTGAAAATGTCCAATTAGTGACTTCCTTGGCACCTGGACTCTAGGCCCCAGAGAGGGGTCCAGGAAGGAATCTTTGTTTTATGAGGTCACTCAGGCATTCTAGCAGTTACTGGCCTGAGATGGTGGCCTAGGTGTGGCCATATCTGAGGGTCCCTCTTCTTAAGGAGGCAGTGATGCCTCAGAGGTTACGAGCACCTAGCAACAGGGAAGTCCTGGGAAAAAGCAGGAAGACATTAGAGATGGGCCAGAAGCTCTCCCTTCTTCATGAAGCGCCAAAGGCTGCAGACAAAGGCCTTTGTAAGGTGTTAGGAAAAGGGTTATGTAGGAGGGAATAATGAAGTTCTCTGAGTTTCTAAGAGTGTTAGAACACATCCAGAGCCAGTACCAGAAACACCTAGAAGGAAAGGAAGATTGTAATGGGTTAGGGGCTAAGACACAAGAAACAGGAAGGACAGAGGAGGTAACGCAGGTCCTATTTGGGGGCATGCAATGTGGACACGGGAACCACTCCACTAGAATGTGAGGATGAGCCCAATGGGCTAGAGGTGTTTCAAGTGCAAGAGCTATAGGGACTTCTGTTCAACTTCCAGGATTAGTGTATCTTCCTCTTTGCCCTTTTAAGCTTGCCTCCTACAAGGAAAGGCAGGACAGAGAGACTATATGTTTATAATGTTAAATGTTTAATCATTAAATCAATCATTTTCTTAGAAACCCAAGTTCTTGGGCTTGAGGGAGCCACCCCACCATCACCATTTCTATTGTCCATAATCATCTTTTCCCCCCGTGCTAGGGATAGAACTCATAGCTTTGTGTGTGTTGGGAAAGCACTCTACCCTAGCCAGTCCTCGCTTAGTATTTTAAAACGCGTATATGTCCACTCCTGGTAGAAAAATACTCATGTAAGCAACCAATACACTGAATTAATAAATAGCATTTATACCCCACTCAGTGGTCTACATAGCAAGATTCAAGCCAGCCTGTGCTACACGGTGAGACCGTTTCAAAAGGAAAAAAATCAGTAAAAATACAGAACAAAGAAAGTATATTGAACATGGCAAGAGAGAAACATCAAGTCACATACAAAGGCCCATCAGAATAACAGCAGATTTCTCAACAGAAACTTTAAAAGTGAGAAGGGCTTGGAATGATGTTTCAAGTTCTGGAAGACAATAATTGCCAACCAGAGCCACTCTACCCAGAAAAAGTGGCTGTCATAATTGAAGGAGAAAGACAAACTTTCCATGATAAAAATAAACTAAAGGAATTTATGGCCATTAAGCTAGCTCCACAGAAGATACCTGCAGATACTCTTCAGACTGAAGAGAAAAATAAATCCATTCATGAATCCATGGGAAAGAATAAACCATGTTGAATAATAGTCAAGCAAGAGGGGAAGAGCAAAGAATTCAACACTACAAAATCAAAATGACAGAAACTAATATACACCTTTAAATCGTAATTCTGAATATTAATGGTCTCAATTCCCCCAATCAAAAGGCACAGACCAGCAGGTTAGATTTAAAAAAAAGAAAAAAAGTAGGAACCATCTATTTATTACCTCTAGGAAACACACCTCATCACAAAAGGCAGACAGTACATAAGGGTCAAAAGATGGAAAAAGGGATTTCAAGCAAATGGACCTAGGAAACAAGCAGGTGTCACTGTTCCAATATCACAAAATAGACTTCAAACTAACTAGTGAGAAACTACTGAGAAAAGATAAGGAAGGTCACTTCATACTGACTAATAGAACAATCCATTAAGAGGACCTTACACTTTTAAATATAGATGGCCTGAACATAGGTGCACCCAACTTCTTAAAACAAATATCACCAGATGTGAAGTCACAGATTAATTCCAGGGCAAAAGCCATAGGTGACTTCAATACAGCATCCTTGCCAAGTGACAGGGCTAATAACATCACAAATCAAATGAATTTAACAAGTATCTATAGAACATTCCACACAAATACTGCAGAATACACATTCTCAGTAGCCCATGAAACATTCCCTAAAATAGATTATATATTAGTACACAAAGCAAGCCTTAACAAATATAGGAAAATTGAAATAAATACCTTGTATGCTATTACGATGGAATAAAACTACAAATCAAGAGAAATCCTAAAACATACTCAAACTCATGAAGATTAAACAGCATTCTACTGAACAATGAATAGGTCCTTGAAGAAATCAAAAAGGAAATAAAAACTTCCCTATAATCCAATGAAAATTATACAAAAACCTATGGGATGCAAAGCAGTCCCAAAAGCAAGGTTTATAGCTCTAAATTCCTACATTAAGAAAGTAGAGATCTCAAATAAATAATGATATTCCTTAAAGCACTGGGAAAAGAACAAGTCAAACCCCAAATCAATAGACCTAAATCATTAGGGCCGGGCACGGTGGTACACGCCTTTAATCCCAGCACTTGGGAGGCAGAGGCAGGCAGATCTCTGTGATTTCAAGGCCAGCCTGGTCTACATGGTGAGTTCCAGGACAGCTGGGGCTACAGGGAGACCCTGTCTCAAAAAGACCAAAAAAGAAAAAAAAAAAAAGAAAGAAATCATTAGGATCAGAGCAGAAAGTAATGAAAAACAGAACAAAAGAAAAATAAAACAATACAAAGAAATCAATGAAACAAAGAGTTGGTTCTTTGAAAAGATAACAGAATTGACAAACTCTTAGCCAAAACAACCCAAAGAAAAAGAAGATCTCAATTAATAAAATTAAAGATGAAAAGGGAAGTGTTGGACAAATGGCTCAGCAGTTAAGAATACTTACTGCTCTTTCAGAGGACCCAGGTTTGGTTCCCAGTGATACCCCACATGATAGTTAATACTTGTGCCCTTAACTCCAGTTTCAAGTGGATCTGATGCTCTCTTCTGGCCTACACAGGCACCAGGCATGCATTTTATATACATGCAAGCAAAGTATTAATATACATAGAATAAAAATAAGTTTAAAAATCTTTTAAAAGAAAAAAATGAAAAGAGAACCATTATAACAGATACCGATGAAATTCAGAAAATTATTGTCTTACCTAAAAAATATATATTCCAGGGGCTGGAGAGATGGCTCAGCGGTTAAGAGCACTGACTGCTCTTGCAGAGGACCTGGGTTCAATTCCCAGCACCCATATGGCGGCTACTAACCGTCCTTAACTCCAGCTCCAGGGGAATCCAAAGCCCTCTTCTGACCTCCGCGGCATTGCATGACACGGGTGCACTCACAATACATGTAGGCAATACACTCATACACATAAAATAAAAATAAACAAAATATTTTAAAACATATATATATTCCAATAAATTGGAAAATTTTAAAGAAATGGGTGGCTTTCTAGATGTATATGGCTTACCAAAATTAAAAGAAGATGAGACAAACAATTTAAATGTATCTATAACAGCAGTGAATTGAAGCAGTATTCTAAAACCCTCCCAGGGAACTAAAAAACATCCAGGCCCAGATGGATGTTGAATTTTATTTTTTTTAAAAAGGGGGAGATGGGGGTTATAAATCTGAACAGAGTTCTCATAAGAAAACATACAAATGACTTACAAACATTTTAAAAGTTCTCAACATCATTAGCCATTAGGGAAATGCAAAGTAAAACTACTTTGACATTCTACCTCACCCCAGTCAGAATGGCTATCATCAAGAAAATAAATGAAGATTGGCATAGTGGCACATGCCTTTAACCATGAATCCCAGCACTAGGAAGGTACAGGCAGGTGCATTTCTGTGGGTTCCAACAAGCCTGGTCTACATAGTAACTTCTGGACCAGCCAGAGCTACATAGGGAGCCCTTTTCTCCAAGTGATTAAATTTTAAATTTTTTTAAATATTTTATTTATTTTTAATGTGTATGAGTGTATTGTCTGCATGTGTGAAAAGTGCACCTGTGTGGTGCAATGCCTGCAGAGACCAGAAGATCCCCTGGAACTGGAGTTACAGACGGTTGTTAGCTGCCATATGGGTGCTGGGAATCAAACCTGGATCTTCTGTAAGAGCAGTCAGTGCTCTTAACCACTGAGCCATCTCTTCAGCCCCAAATTTTAAAAATTTTGAAACAGAAAACAAATGACAACAAATGTTGGCAAGGATGTGAAGAAAGGAGAACCCTATCCACTGTTGATAAGAGTATAAATTGGAATCACCACTATGTAAATCAGTGTAGAGGTTTCCCAAAAAGCTAAAAATATGGGGCAGAACCACACCCACCTGGCTGCAGTAAGCAGCAGCAATAGGACCCTGAGAATAGGAACCTGAGAAATCTAGAGATTTCAGAAAATAAGCTAGAGGACTCTGGCATAAAACTGTCGTGTGAATCTGTAAGACATCCTAAATGCCAATCAGAGTCCTAGATTGGAGGCCTGTTAGCTAACAAGTGCCTGCCTGAGCATCTAGCTTCTGCTTTTACCCACAGTAAAACTTTGTGGGGAAATCAACCTGTTGGATAACACCTTGGACAACAGTGGGGCCACTGTGCTAAGTGAAGACAGAAACAGCCAAAGTGTAACTGGCATATACTTGGGCTGTGATCAACTGACTTTGATGAAGAAACACAAGTGTATCTGGTCTCTGAGCAAGAGAGAACTCCCTACTTGACCACCCTAAGCAGTGTGTAAGAAAAACAGAGAACAGGTTGAAAATTCCATTCCAAAAACCTGGGTGTATTCTGACCCAAACACATGTACAAAGGAAAGGGAGTGGGCCTTACTTTGACCCATCTGTGTGCAAGAAATATAGACCACTGACATTTTAATGAAATATGACCTTTCTGTCACCCAGTTTAGATGTGTTGTATAATATGGATGGGGTTTTTCATTTGCTAATAAAGGATATGAAGTTGGTTTGGGGGATGCAGTTGAAAGTTGAGGGTGGAAAACCCTCAGCTTGTCCTCTGATAGCCTTGGACCCAGGCCCACTCCAAGTCCTGTGCATCCAATCCCGGGA